GTAAGTGCAAGCCCACAGACACCCATTGAGATTGTATTGAAAGCTCTGAAATTTGAAAAAAATAGATTTTACATGGGAGTCTATGACAGAAATTCTGGGCGATTTTCAATCTGACTGAAATCGCCCCAAAAGGGGGTGGAGCCATTTGAAGCACGACTTTAGCCTGATTCGACATTTAGTGGCAGTGTGGCACTGTGGCAGATCAGACGTATAGATTACAACACTGATAACTACTGTTGCCGTGATATAATTGATTAGAAAAAAAATCCCTTCCTTTTCCCGTTTGGCAGTGCGTCGCCCATATCGCCCTATTGAACAGGCCGTCCCTGCATGGGAATCAGAATGACTGTTTGGGACCTTTAACAACAGCTGGGGTGCGATCTCTACTGTTAAGGAAGTCTCAAGTTTTTGCTTGCCTGAGTTAGAATTCCTCATGATAAGCTGCAGAATATAATATTTACCAAGAGAGTTTTCATCTATATTTCGCATAGCAGTCTATTTACCACCACAAACCGATGCTGGCACTAAGACTGCACTCAACAAGCTGTATAGGGCCATAAGCAAACAAGAAAATGCACATTCAGGCACTTCTCGTGGCCGGTGATTTTAATGCAGGGAAACTGAAATCCGTTTTACCACATTTTTATGAGCATGTCATCTGCGCAACTAGAGGCAACAAAACCCTAGATCACCTTTACTCCACACAGAAATGCATACAAGGCTTTCCCTCGCCCTCTCTTTGGCAAATCTGCCATAACTATATCCTCCTGATTCCTGCTTACAAGCAAAGACTCAAACAGGAAGTACCAGTGACGCGTTCAATGCGGAAGTGGCCCGATGAAGTGGATGCTAAGCTACAGGAATGTTTCGCTAGCACAGACTGGAATATGTTCAGGGATTCATCTGATAACATTGAGGAGTTTACCACATCAGTCACCGGCTTCATTAATATGTGCATCGACGATGTCTTCCCCACAGTGACCGCATGTACATATCCCAACCAGAAGCCATGGATTACAAGCAACATCTGCACTGAGCAAAAGGCTAGAGCTGCCGCTTTCAAGGAGCAGGACACTAATCCGGACGCTTATAAGAAATCCTGCTACGACTCATGACGAGCCATCAAACAGGCAAAGCGTCAATACAGGACTAAGATTGAATCCTGCTGCGCCGGCTCTGACGTTCATCGGATAGGGCAGGGCTAGTAAACTATCAGGGATTACAAAGGGTAACCCAGCCGTGAACTGCCCAGTGACACCAGCCAGCCAGATGAGCTAAATGCCTTCGATGCTCGCTTTGAGGCAAGCAACATTGAACCATGCATGAGAGCACCAGCTGTTCTGGACGACTGTGTGATCTCGCTCTCCGTTGCCGATGTGAGTAAGACCTTTAAACAGATTAACATTCACAAGGTCGCGGGGCCAGACGGATTACCAGGACATGTACTCAGAGCATGCGCTGACCAGCTGGCAAGTGTCTTCACTGACATTTTCAACCTCTCCCTGACTGAGTCTATAATACCTACATGTTTCAAGCAGACCACCATAGTCCCTGTGCCCAAGAATGCCAAGGTAACCTGTCTAAATGACTATCGCCCCGTAGCACTCACATTTGTAGCCATTAAATGCTTTGAAAGGCTGTCATGGCTGACATCAACACCATCCTCCCAGACACCCTGGACCCACTCCAATTCGCATACCGCCCCAACAGATCTACAGATGACCCAATTTCTATTGCACTCCACACTGCCCTCTCCCACCTGAACAAGAGAAACACCTATGTGAGAATGCTGTTGATTGACTACAGCTCCCCATTCAACACCATAGTGCCCTCCAAACTCATCACTAAGCTCAGGACCCTGGGATTGAACACCTCCCTCTGCAACTGGATCCTGGACTTCCTGACCGGCTGCTCCCAGGTGGTGAGGGTAGGCAACAGCACATCTGCTAACACAGGGGGGCCCCTCAGGGTGCGTGCTTAGTCTCCTCCTGTACTCCCTGTTCACCCACAACTCCAAGACCATCATTAAGTTTGCTGACGACACGATGGTGGTAATAATAATAATAATAATAATAATAATAATAATAGGGACTTATATAGCGCTTTTCAAGGACCCAAAGTTGCTTTACAATTGTAGAAATAAAAAAATAATAAAAAAATAACAGGAGTCAAAACAAAACATCAGACTAAACAAAAATATGAAAAAAGAGACGGGTGGGCTCAAAGATGGAAAAGAGTGTGATGTATCAGTGTATGTATTTGTATTTATTACAGTCCATTAGCTGCTGCCAAGGATACTCTTCCTGGGGTCCAGCAAAATTAAGGCAGTTATACACAATAAAAAAAACATAACAATACATTTCACAACACATTAAGTGTGCCCTCAGGCCACTACTCTACTACCACATATCTACAAACAAAACCCATGTGTACGTGTGTGTATAGTGAGCATGTTATCACACGTGTGTGTGTTTCTTCACAGTCCCCGCTGTTCCATAAGGTGTATTTTTATCTGATTTTTAAATCTGATTTTACTGCTTGCATGAGTTACTTGATGTGGAATAGAGTTCCATGTAGTCATTGCTCTATGTAGTACTGTGCGCCTCCCATAGTCTGTTCTGACCCTGGGGACTGTGAAGACCCTGGGTGTCTGAGCTGTGTGCTAGTAGTTTAAACAGACAGCTCGGTGCATTCAACATGTCAATACATCTCACAAATACAAGTAGTGTGAAGTCAATCTCTCCTCTACTTTGAGCCAGGAGAGATTCACATGCATATTATTAATGTAAGCTCTCTGTGTACATTTAAGGGCCAACCGTGCCCTGTTCTGGGCCAATTGTAATTTTCCTAAGTCCCTCTTTGTGGCACCTATCCACACTGAGGAACTTGAAGCTCTCGACCTGCTCCACTACAGCCCTGTCGATGTGGATGGGGGCGTGCTCGATATGGGTATGGGGAGGGTAGGGTTGGGATTTGATATGCCTGATCACTAACGACTTTGAAACAGTCTATAGGGAGGAAGTCAGTGACCTGGCAGTGTGGTGCCCGGACAACAACCTCTCACTCAACTCAAGACAAAGGAGCTGATCGTGGACTACAGGAAATGAAGGGCCGAACACGCTCCCATCCACATCGACGGGGCTGTAGTGGAGCGGGTTGAGAGCGTCAAGTTCCTCTGTGTCCACATCACTAAGGAATTATCATGGTCAACACACACCAACACAGTCATGAAGAAGGCACGAAAAGGCCTCTTCCCCCTTAGGAGGCTGAAAAGATTTGGCATTGGCCCTCAAATCCACAAAAGGTTTGTACGGCCCAGTACATCACTGGGGCCGAGCTCCCTGCAATCCAGTACCTGTATACCAGGCGGTGTCAGAGAAAGGCCCTAAAAAGAAGTCATAGACTGTTTTCTCTGCTACCGCACAGCAAGCGGTACCGATGCACCAAGTCTGGAACCAACAGGACCCTGAACAGCTTCTACCCCCAAGCCATAAGACTGCTAAATAGTTAACCAAATAGCTACCTGGACTATCTGCATTGACCTTTTTTGCACAAACTATGTTGACTCATCACATACGCTGCTGTTATTGTTTATTATCTATCCTGTTGTCTAGACACTTTACCCCTACATATATGTACATATCTACCTCAATTACCTCGTACCCCTGCAAATCAACTCAGTACTGGTACCCCGTGTATATAGCTAAGTTATCATGACTTATTGTGTATTTATTCCTTGTGTTATTATTTTTCTATTATTTAAAAAATAATGTCTCTCTGCATTGTTGGGAAGGGCCCATAAGTAAGCATTACACTATTAGTCTACACCTGTTGTTTACGAAGCATGTGACAAATACAATTGTATTTTATTTTATTCACTTTCATGCTGGGATGACCCAGCAGTTGGGTCTTTTTAATGTAATCCATAGGTTATTTTTAGGAGGCATGGCCTATTGGGGGCATGGCTTTCAGATAGTTCATTTTAGACAGCCCTTGAGAGTAAATGTCATTCCTGTTCATCACGTTAAGTTTCACATTACATATTTTAATAGAAATGTAATAAGATATATATTTTTTGATTATACCAAAGTGGGGAACTCATTAAAGCTACGAAAGTGTCAGTGCTCAACCTTAACGCCTCCAGTCTTCAAAGAAAACCACCCAACTAAGTGACCCAACTGGCTGGATCAAAATAACCCAATGTGTGTTCTGTCCACTATTTACCTAGTGCTGGATTATTCCAGCATTTTTTGAGTGCATGGTGGGGCAATTAGAGCTTCTTCTCCAAGCATAACCTTAAGAGACCACGTACACAGGACTTTGCAGCTGTGCATTCCTGATCTTGCGTAGCCTTCCTAAGGCTGTTTTCCCTCCAGTTCTGGCAACACAGCACGGATAAGGGCTTCGCCTAATATGGTCTCCTCCTATCCACTAGTTGTGTCAGAATGTTTTTATTTTATTTGGCAGTCAAGATCGAACCATTTAAGGAGGAGAATGAAGGGTTGTCCCCTTCACTGTGATGCATTCTGGAGAATATTTTATATAGTCTGTCTCCCTACATAAATGAAAAGAGGGTCACTTATGATCTTTGCAATCCTTTTTATCCTTTACCTCAACCTTTCTTCCATAAATGTGCATAGCTGTTTTCCCATTTTTGGATGACAGATAACAGAGATATAGCATGCCCAAGGCTACAGAAACAGGAGTTGCTGTTCCAGAGTTTGTGGTCTGCTCTCACAGCACCATGTAACAACACTGTGATTTACAGTCTAGCCACTACACACTCTCCTCCTGCTTCCCCTCTCTGCTGTCTGCACTGAGGCTGGTGTAGGCAGTGATAAGAAATCCACCAAAGTAGGACTAGCCTGATCTGTGTCTATTTAAGGCTCCAGTGTCTCCGCTGGGGACTCGTATCTGACTTAAATCGGCCAAATGTTTAGGCAGTACAGAGGCCTGGAGGCTCAGCACTAGAGGAAGGAAGACAGTGATAAAATACCCATTGTCAAACAACTGTCCTGCAAGCAGCTGACGATGCAACTGGCCTGAAATCCAAATGATAGAAAGAGGAAGTGTGTGTCAAGTGTATACAAGGGCTAGAACTTACAGGTTTTTTCAGGAAGAACAGGGACAGAGCTCCGACAAGGGGCATGTCACCTAGCAATGGCTCCATGACTACTCTCAACACTCCATGGAGCTGTGAAACACAAAAGAGGCATTAAGATTAAAAGTACACTCGCTCGCAGTGATAAAACAGAATCACACACAAGACACAAGGTTAAGGTAGCTTTCAGTATCATGGAACTAACACTCTGCAGGCCCTTGACCCACCTAATAAGCTCTATCGGAACATTCCAGAGTGGAGGCCTGGACATTACAAAGATGGCCCCTTTACTGTCATTATTATCAGGCCAACATAACATAACTGCTCTATGTTATCCTCAACTTGCTAAACAAATATTGAGCTAATTATATCTCTCAAAGACAAGTGTTGTGTTGCAGTAAAATCATCTCAAGCAAATTGGTGATACACAAAGCAACTCAAACAACAATGAAATTGCATCAATGATATACATTTTTTTTTTTATACATCTTCCGTTTGGCATGTCTCTTGTGATCCGGTTCACAGCAGCACTGATGGATGTGTTGACTTGACAACTGCGTAAGAGTTTTGAACAACCCTTCCCCCGCTTTTGTTCCATGCTGGCTGAACACCTAGCTAGCCAGTAACTAGCTAACACCAGACACAGATGAAAGGGGAAACATAAGTATCTTTGCCATAGATGGAATTTGTAAAATATATGTTTTGCAAATTAGTAACATATTGTATGAATTGCAATTCGTAACATATTGTTTGAATTGCAATGCGTAACATATCATACGAAATGGAAATGGATGATGGACATCCACAAATTAATACATACCATACGAAATGGAACATAATCCATTTTACATTTAAGTCATTTAGCAGACGCTCTTATCCAGAGCAACTTACAGTAAGTAGTGAGTGCATACATTTTCATATTTTTCCGTACTGGTCCCCTGTGGGAATTGAGCCCACAACCCTGACGTTGCAAGCGCAACACTAATTGGAGTGTTTCGGATTTACTTTCACTATATTATGTCTACCCGAGTCCAGGTTGGTATAATAGGACCCTCCTTACTGACAATATTACAGCTCTTTGTCTCTAAGGAGACAGATTGATTGCTTTTCCTGTCAGCTATGTTTCACTGCTGCTATGCAATGGCCAGTGACATAATTTATTAACACTTGTATTGTTCTACCCTCTATTCTCTCCCACACACATAAGGTCACTGATCACATGGTATGTTGCTTGCAAGTCATTGCAATCAAAAACTAACTGAGCAAGCGGGCATCATAAAGCAACTTTAATATGCATTCACAACATTTATTTGGATTTAACTATCCTCCACTCTTCTGAACAGGGTTTTAGTGACAAAAACGACAATCAAATCAACCATTAGAGTTTTATAGTCCATTTCCGACTGCAAGTGAAGTGTATTTGTTAAAAAACTAAAACAAAAACGATTTTACATTCCTATGAAATAGAATGTATACATTACCTGTATGCTTTTAATACCAGCTTTGCAGTAGTATCTTTTGACGTCCACATCAATTTCAGTATTTCCAACGAAACTGAAAAAACACAATTATCAGCATCGTCAAAAATCCCATGAATGTGTTCATGTACAGTAGGTGTTATTTAATAAAAATAATACAATCACATGACTACTACACACAGTACATTCTATGACAAGCCAAAGGCTAAAATCAGTCCAAAATAGAGATAGTCAGGTCACCTGATCTGTAGGTCCATGATGATCTGACGCTTGTCCACATTCTCTGTGTAAACCTTGACCCCGTTAATCCTCAAAGGCTAAACACAAACACAAGACAAATTACATCACCACTAGGCCTCAGACCCCCCACTTGTGTTTTACCCAGCATGAACTTCGCCACTACTCTGTGACCCTTTCTGGAAACTATTTAGGAGACACCCATCCACCACAGGCACGTGAATAGATAGGGATCTAGGATGCTAAAGCCACTGCCCTTTTGCCCTCCAATAACAAAAGTTCAGCTGTGAGTTGAATAGTGTAAAACATCTCATAAACAGTAAGTATGAGGCAGGGTTAGGTAGAGACTCCTGCTGATAAGTCTTGATGCTCACCTTGTCCCCCATGTCAATCTTGCTGAAACAGAAGGTGCTGAGGTGGGAGTTGGCTCCCTTCACGGCCGGTTCGATAGTCTCGTGGAACAGCTTCTCTATGAACTGGCAAATATACGGCCACATCTGTCTCACAGTCTGCAGGGCCACAGGGAGGAGAACGGATCAGTGAGTTGGCACCGGCCCACATTCTGACCATCATCCAATAAGTAATCACAGAAAATGTAGGAAGCAGAGTGAAGGAGCTGAATTCACTGAATTAATTATTCAATATCAGGGCACATATTCAAAATGTGTCTCAGAGTAGGAGCGTTGATATAGGATCAGTTTTGCCTTTCCATCATAATGAAATAAGACAGGAGGGACCTGTTCCTAGATTAGCACTCATTCTCTGAGACTCTTTGTGAAAACAGGCCCAGCAATATTCTAAAAGTGATGCGAAGGCATTTCAATTAGCTCATCAGTTCCATAATTCACAATACTGGAGAAACTCAACTCATCTATGACATTTTAATCGTCACGTGTTTTATTTCGTTAATAATGTGTACACAATAAATATTTTAAACTTAGGTTTCAGGTCATTACCTTATGGAACGGCTTAAGGCTTAAAGTGGCAATCTGCAGTTGCTACATCTATTTTTGGACTTTTAAATTATAGATATATTATATAACCTTGAAGATTCCTTGAAGAATATAACTTATAAATGCCTCATGAGCTTAGCTCAACTGTCGTTCCCCATCAGAACCCAAAATATAAAAGTTTGCTTTATTCCATTGTTTGTAAACAATGTACGTGTAAACAAACACTGTATAGCCTCAAAACATGGTTAAAACTATTATTTGTATCTCATGGATGGTCAGTCCTTCTATCGATAGCTCTGTCTATGAATTTGAGATTGTTTACATTTCTCCAGACCTATCCCTCAGCTGTTTACCAAAAACAGTGGCAAGGTGACCACCCTGTTGACTGCAGATTGCCCTTTTAAGAGACTATTAAATCTGATTGACTTCCTGATTTATGCATAGAGTACGCTGCAAAAATAGAGCAGCTGTGTGGTTCAACATACGGCAGGGTACAGTACATCCCAATATATCTATATTTACAGCGCTGCAGTGAGGGAGGGGCTACAGTACAGATACTGTTCCAGCGGTATCTACACCGCAAAACCCAGCAGGAAAAAGTAGGTCTTCATCAAAATAGAAGTGGAACATCTGACAGTTCGTTTTTTTGGTGTTATTTTACCTTGTTCAGCCACTCTACTCTTTCTACATCCGGGAAGTTGACCTAAAAGGAAGAAAATAAGATACATGCTCAAACACTGTTTTATTTGCTCATTTTCAAGTACCACTACTCATACTGATTCCATCTTAACAACCACATTGTTGCATTGTTATTTTAACTTAAATAGCTGGTGGATATTCTGCCTTGGTTCAGCAGCAGTCTGGCTGCAGCCTGGGTTGCGTCCCAAATGGCAACCTATTCATATAGTGCACCAATTTTGACCAGGGCCCATAGGGCTCTTGTCACAAGTAGTGTACTATGTAGGGAATAGGGTGCCATTTGGGACACAGCTCTGCAGTCTGCCTGAACCCCTCCTGGCTATTATAAAGACATAACAGTACTGTAGCTGGAGCTATCCACTGAATACTGCACACAGTATGTGCTGTGCATCAGGGGGAGAGCCCTGAGCATACATACTGCCCACACAGCCCACATACTGTACCTACACGTGCACGCACGCACACACATACACACACACACCACATAACACCAGCTTTCATAGACCTACAACCATTATAGTCTAAAAGCAAAACGTTTCTATAGAGGCTGCCACACAGCCTAGCCTTTTCAGAACAACACAGAGGAAGTGTGCTGTCATGTGTTATCCCCTTGGGAGAGGTGGCACTAGAGGTGTAGCCGTGGCAACAACATTGCATGCGACAGCTACAGGGGGCAGTAATGCCAATGCTAATGCTGGTGAGAAAAGCGCTGATCCAGCATTAGCGTGACAGCATAGAGGAGCGTAGGCTCAGAAAGTGAGAGGAATGGGAAGTAGGGAGATAAACTACGGCTGGGTTTGACAGATTCAGGCCTAGTTTTTTTACCAGCCACAAGTGCCGCTGTTATGCAATCAGGAGAACTCAAATTGACAGGCTTTCCATTAACCTGACACATACTGTAAAGCAACCAATTCACAAAATAGCAGGCAGGGGATAGAGCCTTGCAGATACATCATTTACTCAGATAATAAATTATGAGTGCTAGATGTGCATCATGCCTCACAACAGAAATTGAGATGTAATTTAAAATCCAGTACTGTCCATTTAAGTGAATTGAATAAAGATGCTGTTAGACAACTATGGAAATGTATTGGAAGCATTATGGAAGCAACTTGCATGTACTGAATAACATTACACACCTGCATGTATACAACTCCATTAGAGTGGATATCAATGTATCCTACCCCTTTAAGTGTCTCAGGGAAAGTATTTACTTGTTTTCCCGGACAGTAGCTACCTTGAGATGGTTGGTGCTTGTGTCTCATAGGAGACTGAATAAACAGAAGGATCTTACTATAGTGTAGGCAGTATTAAGCAGCGGTCTATGACTCACAGCAGATTTATTTCCCAAACAAACAGGAGCAGTCAGGAGCACTCACTATTTATGTATGAGAGAACAGCATATTTATTCCTGTTCTGTTCTGCTGCTTATCTCTAGGAGAAATCTCTAGGAAAACATTTTTAGATCAGGTGTTACACTGCTGTGTTACATGATCTATTCTTTCCTTTCCACTCACTCAAAGGTACAGTATATACACTGAAACTAAGGGGCACTGGTTGCAGGTAAACACAGATGCAAATGTGGAGATTGTGGACTGTGGAGTTCAATTCCAATCAAAAGAGCAGGATTAGAACACATTCTACTATCTTGACAAGGAGGTGGGCAACTATTACTGTACCTTCATGTCTATGAGATCATCCTATTGACCCTGGTCATTATATAGGGAATAGGTGTATTTCAGTGAGGTGGAAGAACAACTATGTCTGAGTGAGTGTGTCTCCCAGAGGACAGGAAGCTTTTGTATAGCTCCTTGTTTCAGATACCTCCTTCTCCTCCTCCTCCTCCTCCTGCTCCTCCTCCTCCTCTTCAGAAACACAACCCAAGTGTCACGTTTAATTTTTTATTTAACCTTTCTTTTGACAGGGAAGTCACGCTGAGACCAAGGTCTCTTTTACAGATGAGCCCTGTAAATAAAAAGATATACATTTCTATACAATAAAAGCACTAAGGACGTTAACAAAAAAACGAATCCACACAATCATACACACAAAACAATCATACACAAGTTTCAGCATCTCAGTCTGAGTGACCAGCTGGGACTGTCCAGACTGAGGCAGCTGAGCACCAGCGGTCAGTCTCTCCTTCAGTGCCTGAGGCGTGCCTATGGCAGCCTGCCAACAACAGGGCACAACACAGTGCAGCCAGTCCAGCTCAGCACTGCTAGGCACAGTTTAGCACAGCACAGCACAGTAGTGACTAGTGAACTCTGATGAGAAAACTGTAATATACTGACTCACTGAATCGATGCTGCTGGCAGCTCCTTGTGTGGAGCAGCTCTGAGGCAGACATTTAATTTACTTCTAAATTAAATCATATTTCGAGAGACCTTCCGAGCTAGTTCATCACACTACCTCCAGCAGGCTTCTATACACATTAAAAGGTGCTGAAGTACCCACAAGGACTATTTTTACAGAGCCCTTTGGAAAATTGTGACTTGGAAAACGAAGCCACAAGGCATGACACAGTGTGACAATGCCAAACATTTAGGATAAAAATAGGGTGAAAATTGGTCGTGTAACCCCATGTTTTTCCTCTTAACCAAATTAGTAGTCACCTTGGCAGCTGAAAGGGCAGAAGAGACAGACAAAAACTAAAGACTGTCCTAGTTAGACACTTGCTGTGCAACAGATCTCAAGAAGCATATCAATTATAAATCATATTCTCTTGTCATCAAGTATATGCCTAGTAGTATATGCCTAGTCTTCAACTTGATGGCAATTTGGTGACAAGGACCACTCAGATGGCATTATTGTAGGGTTTATCCTATGGCCCTAAATCTTGCTAGACTGAGTTCCAGTCTGTTTATGCCATCCAGTCTGTTTATGCCATCAGAGTGGTCCTTGTCACTCATTGTCATGCCAATGACAGCATAAACAGATCTGGAACCAGGCTAACAATATGTGAGGTTAGATTGGGTGCATCTTTCAGGCATAATAATGCATGCAAAGTGTTGTTAGTTACCACAACAGTGGCAGGGCAATGTATCTTAAAATAACAGGGTTCCTCTGGGGCTCGGACATGTGTCCCTTCCACCCTGGTGTCCGTTTACCATTGTGCCATGCTGTATTTAGAGGGGGCTTAATCTAATGTCACTGCTGGGGACAGCTGCTTGATCAGAGCTTTACAGGTCAACACTGTTCTGTCTTCTGATCAGGTGATGGTTTTCTAAGAAACTAAAAAATGATGAGTCACGTGCTGTAGCATACCATATAGGCTTATTTGGGTAATAGAAAAAACACGTTAATTATATGACTACTACATTTGATTATATCAAATGTAGTAGTCATATAATAATCCACAGAGTGACTAATTTAATAGTGGGATTGTGATAATATTGAATGCACAATTACAGTATCCCAAAGGCGCCTTTATAACGGCATCTTCATCTTACCCATGATGGCAAATCAGAAGTTGTCAGACTTTGTTGGACAGTTCTCTCCTCTTGTTCAAAGAAGGCCAAGGCTCTGTACATTCGGGTGTTCTTGCTTCCTGTGTTTCTCCTCCACCAGAAGAATATCACAAGCCCTATTAGAAGCCAACTAAAACTGAATTCAAAATATCCCAAAACATATATGGGGAAAATGAGCACGAATGTCTTTGTAAAATGAATCCATGTCTGGGTTAGGTCACCCGCAGACGACCCAGACGTGCCATTGCCGATGTCTGCATGTGGAACTACGTTGGTATTGGGGTCGGTGTGAACATGGCTCGGTGCGTTTTGTCCATTCTCCTTTGATCCAGCAGAGTTCCCATTATGTGCATGGGCACCTCGTACAGCCGTCATTCTGTCTCTTGACATTCCTTCCTTTGCGCACACAGTTTCGATGGATTTTAGAGTAAAGACCTAAACCGAGGATTCTTCTATTCTTTATTAAACTATCACCAATGTTCAACCTCCTGCGCGCAGCGCAAAGACCCCCTATCAACCCCAGATTACGTTCACGTTAGTTCACCCGCATCCAAGCCCATTTTGCCCTGCTTGCTTCCCTAATACCGCGTTGAGTTCGGGTAGTTCATTTGCCATAACTACTGCAGTCTCACTCTTCGAACACACGTGCTCCTCTCCCAGCGCACGTTCGCGTTCTGTACTTCTTCGCATGTTAGCGTTTTTCGTCATGAATATTGTTCTGGTGGCAGCTCTGCACAGTGGTCACTTGCTGGCACAGCCACAAAGTCAGAAAATCTGATATTAAACCAGTGGAGGCTGCTGAGGAGAGGACGGCTCATAATAATGGCTACAACGGAGTAAATGGAATGGCATCAAACACATGGTTGTGTTTGATGTATTTGATACCATTTCGCTCCAGCCATTACCATGAGCCCGTCCTCCCCAATTAAGGTGCCACCAACCTCCTGTGTGTTAAACCTAACCCTAACCTTTAACCTAACCTTAACCACACTGCTAACCATAATGCCTAACCCTAACCTTAAATTAAGACCAAAAAGCTAATTTTTGTTTTCATAAATTTTTACAATACAGTATAGCCAATTTTGACTTTGCAGCTGGCCTAGGGGAAATCATTCAGTTCTGCCTCCAGGACAAGACTCCTGACAATAAACGTCAACTGCTACTCGTCAACTGCTACTCCTTCAGGGAACCGTAGGTCAAGGAAGCTCCATGCGATAGAGTCACAAAATCGCCAGCCTGTGACCGGCAACTTCAGAGACATGCTCATGTATGGACCACTATTTAATAATAATAATCATACTTATTATTATTATTTTAGCTAATTAGCTAATTATTATTATTATTATTGACAACATTAATCATCTTCATCCATCATCATCTTCGTCACTTTTAATTTAGCCCATTGGTAAATGGCTTTTCAAAACATTATGCACAAATGACCAAAACACTCTCATTCAAAGGTTGACTGAAATAGGCCTAGATCAGGCTTCTTGCAAGTGGTTTGAGAATTATCTGTCAGATAGGACTCAACGCATGATTTCTGATGGGGTCAAGTTTCCTGGATATTACAAAAGGTGTACGGCAAGGGTCGGAAGTATGGGACCTGTTCTCTTTACTATTTATATAAATAATATTGGTCTATCTGTTAAAACGTGTAATATTCATCTGTATGCTGACAACATTGTTATGTATGCCATTGACCCAACTGTTGACCCGACTATGTTAGAGCTGCAATGTGACTTTGTTGCCTTACAGAAAGCCCTGGTTGGTTTCAAACGTGTACTTGAAGTGGGCAAGAATAAAAATATGTTGTTCTCTAATTCTCGAAAAAAATATCAGATGAACTACATATTTATTCATTGGATGGTTCTCCCATCGATCGGGTTCCCGCCTATAAATATCTGGGCATTTGGATTGACAAAGACTTCATGTTTTAAAAAACATGGATAAGCTAGTTAAAAAGCTAAGATTTAAAATGGGCTTATTTTAATACATATATTTAGCCTCTCCCTAAATAGCAGGAAGCAGATTGTACAGTCAACTTTCCTTTCTTGACTATGGTGATGACACCTTTTACCAGAATGCAGCAGACACTACTCTTAAACCTTTGGATGCCGTCTACCATAGCGCCCTTCGCTTTATCACAGGGGACAGTTTTAATACTCACCACTGCATCCTGTATCAAAAGATTGGCTGGTCCTCATTAAAGTCCCATCATTATTCCCATTTTGTTTACAAAGCTCTACTACACAAGCTTCCAATTTACCTAACTTCCTTGCTAACAAATAAAATAATGAGCTACCAAACCCGCTTGCAGGATTGGTTAACTCTTGAGGTCCCTCTGGTCTCTACCAATTTAGGTAAATCCTCCTTTTAGTGCCCCCCATTGTTGGAATAACCTACACAATTCCTTTCATCTTGATTCCCTGGTGCCGCTAGGGCAGTTTAGGACTCAGGTATTTAATTAATTTATTGACGATTGCAGTTCTTTCGATTGATTGTAGTGGTTTATTTGTTGAAATTGTGACATTGAGGTTGTGCCTTGTGGTAATTTTTATCATTCTTGTTTTATTTTTAATGTTAATGTTCCTTCCTGTTTGTGAGAAAATATTTGTAGGCTACTCAGGGCACCATTTGGAATGAGACCCTGCTGTTGGTGCTTCTTCTTCTTCTTCAGGGGGGTTTATCGGCGGTTGGCATCCAACATTATGGTGCATTACCGCCACCTGCTGTACTGGAGTGTGGGCCAGCGACATGGAGAAACTAAATCCTATCTGCCAGCCCCGTTGCTCATAAAAAAGATAACAAAATATTTCAGACTTTATCTAATGACGTTCTACTCAATATACTCTTCAAACTAATTTCATCTATCCCCTTCTCCCTCATACTAGATCTCATCCTCTCTCTTTCCCTCTGATACTGCCCACGCTGTAGCAATACATGCTCCACGGTCTCTGTTTCCTGGCAATAATCACACTTTGTTGGATGCTTTCCTATCACATTTAAGGTCTTGTTCAACTGGCTGTGTCTCACCCTTAATCTTGTAAAAATAGCCTCCTCTCTTCTGTCCCTTCCTGCCGTCCTCCCCTCCCCGACTTTCCTCTGTACTTGAAATAAATGCCTGCCCGTAGTATCTCTATTCCACTGCTCCTGCCATCTCTGCACCATCACTATCCATTTCAGGCTTTTCCCCTATGCCTTGCTCATTGAAACTACAACATCAACATCCCCACTACTAAGTGCTTGTTTAGCCAGTACCTGGTTTTGGTAAAGTAGGGGTATAGCTTTAAAACACTAAAGTGCATTATGGGTAACGTAGTAAGTTAACTTTCGTTTTTGTTGCAATTGTTGGGGTGGCGGGGATGTGGGAGAAGCTTTTGTGTTGACTAGAAGGGTGGATTGGACGAGCCGCCAGGAGAGGGATTTTTGAAATCGTTGAAAAACAAACAAACTTTACTCGGTGTGGCGGAGGTTCGTCACGGCCGTGCTGTGAATGGGTCAGAGATGGTAGGAGATCGTGATGGAGAGGAAAGTGAAGCAAGTATGGAACATAGTGGTACAAATAAAGGAGGGAGTAAGAAAGAGAAAAAATAAAGCGTGAGAGAAAGGGAGTAGGGGAATGAAGGGGAGCGAGAGGTCGACAGAGGCAGAGAGGAGGCAGAAAATGAAGTTTGAGGAGAGCAACCTAGCTTCCAACGCTAGCGGAAGTTCGGAGGTAGAAAGTTCAGAGGAAGGGCAAGATAAGACACGAGAGGAACATGGAGGTGAGGAGGAGCATAAAGTTATTATGAAGTTTAGGGAGGAAGGGGGAGTTGGGGCGATGAGTCCGATAAGGTTGACGGATGTGATAAAAGAGTTGATTGGGGAAGTTGTTAATGCTAAAGTGTTAAGAGATGGGAGATTGTTGGTGTGCTGTAAGGACATGGCACAGAGGGGAAAAGCTATCGGAGTGAAGCAAATAGGGAAGTGTAAGGTGGAGTCGAGCAGCTGGACTGATCAAGCAGGGAAGCAGTGGAGTAAAGGGGTGATAACAGGAGTGCCTGTGAGTGTTTGCACTAAAGAGGTAAGGGAACATTTGAGAGGAGGTGTTCTAGTGAATGTACACAGATTGCAAGCAACAAGGGGTAGATAGAACGTCTATTCTGTTACATTTCAAGGACCGGGTACTGCCAAATAAGGTAACAATAGGATATATGAGTTATTATGTGAGGGCTTATATACCGAAGCCTTTAAGATGTTATAAATGCCAGAGGTTTGGGCATATGGCAACAGTCTGTAAAGAGAAAAAGAGATGTGCCAGGTGTGGAGGAGAGCATGAGTATGGGAAGTGTGGAGATGGTGTACAACCAAAGTGCTGCAACTGTGGGGGTGCTCATAGTGTGGCATATAGTGGGTGTGAGGCTATGAAGAAGGCAGTGGAGGTGCAACAAGTGAGAGCGGAGAGAAGGGTGTCATATGCTGAGGCAGTGAGGGTGGTCCAGGAGAGAAGGGTGTCATATGCTGAGGCAGTGAGGGTGGTCCAGGTCCAGGGAGATACAGGTTCAAGGGAGAGATGGGTAGGAGCATCTAGACCGGGGATTACGGGGCAGGTGGGCAGCGATATGGTATACATAGAAAAGAGAAAGCTGGTGACGTTCATAGCAGGAGCTATCAATAGCACTGATAAAGTAGAGTCTAAAACGGAGAGGATTAAACTAATAGTGAAAGCTGCTGGGAGACATTTGAGTATGACAGGGTTGACATGGGAAGAGGTTCGAGATGACCTCAATCAGCCGATGGTGGAGTCATGTATTACTGGATCTTAGTTATTGTGGTAGTACTACAATGGAATGCTCCAAGCCTGTTGGCTTAATGGGCAGGAATTCAAGCAGTTCATTGTTGATATGATAGCTAAGCCTGATGTGATGTGTGCAGGAAACATGGCTCAAACCGAATGTGGAGTTTATCATACAGGGATATGTAGTGGTTCGTAGGGACCAAGATATAGGGGGAGGGGGGATGTGCCACCTTCATAAAGCAAGGAATTCCCTACAAGATGATAGGCAAAGGTATTGAACAGGAGTATGTGGTGGTGGAGGTGTGGCTCAGAGGAGGGGTGCTAGTGGTAGTGAATTACTATAATCCGTGTCAGGAATTGGAAATGGAAGTGCTGGAGAGGGTGGAGGGCCAGGAAAGAAGTAAGGTAATGTGGTGTGGGGATTTGAACACCCACAACACGCTTTGGGGGTGTTCAATTTGATAGAAAATAAAAATCTGGGGTGCCTGAATGATGGCCGAGGGACCAGGATTGATGTAGCCACAGGGAAAGAGTCTGCCTTGGACCTCACTCTGGTATCTAGTGCGATGGCAGGAATATGTGAGTGGGAGGTATGGGA